TCTGCGCCGACAATTCTCCGAGCCACTGAATGCTCGTTCTACCTCAACCCAGGCCTCTCCATCCCCCTCCCCAGTAACTCAATGGACCAAATGCACTTTGTGCGGAAAGCTCCTTGAGTATAGTAGAGGTTCTGATTCCCAAAATAATGTTATGAAAGCCCACATTGCCACTGCGCATCCGCACATTGCTGCGCCCAAGACGCGTTTTGTCGCGGAAGGCGGCGATGACCAGTCACAGCTTGACGACGACGAGGAGCAAATGGAAGATGAAAGCGTGGATGAGAATGCAGACGTTGACGCCAGTGACCTTCACGAAGCTGAGGATGATGATGACCATCATGCAAATCATACTCTAGAAAACGGCGTGGCCGACACTACTGAAGTCGACGACGAAAGCTACAAGCTACCAGAAGATGCGGATGGCGAAGAGCCAGAGGTTGCCGAGGCCGATGTGTCAAGCCAGTTGCATGAATTTTCGCGCGCTCAAGATCCCGTGACATTGGACCAACGCCTCCATAACCTCTGGAATGTTCACGATGTCCACCAATTCTGCAGTGATCATGATGAAAAGACTGCCAATCTAGAACACTCCTGGACTACATTGGTCAAGGAATCGAAACGCCCACGAAAGCGCGAAGCCCCTGATGAGCTGCAAGACCGACCAGAACCTTACAAGAAATCGAAGGTCTCTCCAGGAGAATTTCTTGAAATCACGCCTCTCGAGGAATTCTTGAGTCAGCTTCGAGACCCTGAGCACCGTTCCTACGAGGAACTCTATGCTATCACTGAAAACGTCGCTTTCGCTCTCAAGGTATGGCAAGATGAGTATATGGCCATCGAAAGGCTGAACAAGCACGCCACCCGACACAACGCTAAACCAATCAGCGATCCCAGAAAATTACTGAGGCCGCAAGTCTTTGAGGATAAGAAAGAGGCTATGCTCTACGGATACAAGCATGAGCCGAAGGAAGATAAGGTGGGCTGTCAGAATCCGTTCACCCAGGGCGGCTTCAAACCTACTCCGGCCCAGTATCGCAAGATGACCGCCAAGCTCGGGCCCAATCATCCCAACCCAGATGGCTGGCCTACTATTACGAAATTCGGAGTCGAGCACGTCCCTAAATTCCAGAACCCGCCTCGGGAGGACTTTGTCGGCAAGGCTACCCGCAAGCGAAAAGCCGCGGAATTGGAGGCAGCCAACAGAGAAAAGGCGTCGTCGGTCTCAGACGAGGCCGCGACAGACTCACCCGCTCCGGTGGAACCAGAGGAGAATATACGTCAACGGCGCACGCGCACCCGTCGCCAAGGCACGGATTTCGAAGATCAATCCGACTCCGCTTCCGCTCCGCCCATCCGGTTTGCCACGCGCGGCCGTGGTAGCGGGCGCGGGCGCGGGCGAGGTGGCATTCGTACCATCACGATCAATGGCCCGTCTGACCCGTCTCAAGCGCCAGCGCTAGTGGCCCCTCCTCGCTCGACGACAATTCGCATCGAGAAGCCCACCACCATCCTGCAGACTCGACCTGGCACAGTTCAACTGACGCCTATTGAGCCAGCGCCGAGTAGTAACCAAGCAGCTGCACCTCCGGCGGGCACCCCAGTCGGGAGCACCCCGGAAGACTCGATCGACCCTGCGGAGCTTGCTCGACGACAGAAAATTGCCAACTCGAAGAATCCAAAGCGGACAGAAGCTATGCTCAACCATTGGGCCCGGTTCAACAAAGAGGGTCGGGTTCGCAATCCCAAACGCTCCAAAGCCCAGATCGAGGCGGATCGCGCGGCCGAAGCTGCCCGCAAAGCTATCGAACCGCCCAAAGTCGGTCCACGAAAGAAGAAAATGGACAGTCCGGGCTATGTAGGCCCGAGGATCGAGCAGGGAATTGCACCGGCTCCAGCTCCCATTCAGCCTGCCGCACCTCCTCCTACCTTAGCTCCCAATCACCCGACTCATCCTCAGTTGGCGCCGTTGCCTGCACCGCGACCTCCTCTGAACCCTTACCCACCCATTGACACCCGGGGAGTCCCCTTCCCTGGACCTCACACTCTATTCCAACAGCCGGCACCTCAACCTTACCGCACACCTTATCCGGAGTATTACAGTCCTTACGCACCCACGCTACCACCACCACCTGGCCACCCACGCCCTGCCTAGATCTTGGTTGACCTTATCATTAAAATATCTATTGCGCAGTTCCTAGGAAAAAGTTGGATGCACCATGTACACTACAGTGATTCTTGTGCATATGTACTACCATCCTTGTGAGGCAGCCGGGAGACTCGCGTGTCAGTGCTTGTCTGTTTTGTCCCTTCTATTTGTGTCTTGCTAGCGATTGGCGCCGGGGCTTGATTCTGCTGTACCATTGTGGGATTCTGGGTTGGTTCAACAGGTCTGTTGTGGTGTATCGATTTAAGATTTCGAGGCTTCGCGGGTATGTACTGTACATTGTTGGATGGAGAATTGCTGGCTTGGAGCATGAAAAGCTATTAGATGTAATATATTGACTGTCGAGCAACACTGACTTGATTCTAACAAACATTGCTTTGGTTGTTTGTGCTGTTGTTCTGTTCCTGAATGTGAATTGCGTAACATTTTGGTCCTCACATGCAAAGTCTTGATTAGATCTGAGACAGACCTTAATCAAGCGGACTCCGTCATATGGAGGTATATTGCTTTAAGATGTCTGAGCTATGACTATTGAGTGTGAAGAAAGATATTATCGATCACATACGATCACCTAGTAGATAAAACTTGCTTCGCTAGCTAGCAAGAGTCAACCTGATATCTTACTTCTCAAGGACTAAGCTATGATGTCGTATCATGTGACTGACGACGCATGTCCTGCACGTGACAAGGCTCACCGAACCAACCTCAATCTCATCAGCGGCGACTCACTCGCGACCAGAATCTCTGCATTCCAGTCTACTCCACCAACCTTTTTCTCTTTCTCTTTCTCAAATATCACGAAGCGACCAGCTTCACAGTCTCATCATGGGCAAAAAGAGACGCGGACCCACGTTAGAAGAAGTATTGGCTCGTCCGTGGTGCTACTACTGCGAGCGCGACTTCGATGACCTCAAGATCCTTATCTCCCACCAAAAAGCCAAGCACTTCAAGTGCGAGCGATGTGGGCGCAGACTGAACACCGCCGGAGGTGAGTTTTCCATTATCCTATCAAGACGAGGAAGCCATTGTCTAATCTGGGTCCTTGGTTCTTAGGCTTGTCCGTGCACATGAGCCAGGTACATAAGGAGCAGCTGTCGGCGGTCGACAATGCTCTCCCCAACCGATCCAGTCTCGACGTCGAGATCTTTGGGATGGAGGGTGTTCCCGAGGATATCATCCAGGCGCACAACCAGCGGGTAGCGACACAGTTCCAGCAGGCAGAGGCCGAACGGCAGGCCGTGACGGGCAATCCGCCTCCCGGGACGACGGCGACGGGTGGACAGCCGGCGAAGAAGCCCAAGCTGGAGAGCGTTTCGGACCTCAAGAAACGTCTGGCGGAACACAAGGCGAAGATGGCGGAAGCGCGTGCGGGCGGCAGCAGTGGCGAGGCTACGCCTGTGGGAGCCGGTCAGACACCAACTATGGGTGGATACGTAAGTGATTTGTTGGCGTTTGAATCAATTCGACTTCGTATACTGATGTCATATCTTTCGGACAGGCCGCAACGTCCACTGCACCACCGCCTGCGACCACTCCCTCTCAATTCTCATATCCTCAGCCCTACGGCGCCGCCGCCGCCGCCGCTTCTCCCTTCCAGCAACCCCCTCAACAAACGGCCAGTCCCGTGTATCCGACCTTCTCGCCCGGTGGCCAGGCGAATGCGCAGTATGCTGCTCCTCCCACGACCTTCTCCCCGCAGCCGTTCCCGACTGGAGTTTCCGGCCAACCGCCGTACGGTGCCACACCTCCGACATACCCGACGCAACAGTCCCCTCCCCAAACACACACCCCTCCGCAGCCCGGGGGCGCATTCCCACCCCGTCCTGTCGGGTTACCCGCTGCGCCTGGTCTCCCTCAGCGTCCGGCCGTGGGGGCACCGCAGGTCAACGCCTACCAAATGCAACAGATGCACATGGGCCACACGGTGCCCCCGACGACCACCATGAACGGCGCCGACAAGGCTCCCGGAGCGGCGGCGGAAAGCACCGGGTTCTCCGGCTCTGTGGACGATTTGATCTCCGGGGCGGCGAAGCAGGCCGAAGCGGCGACGGCGACGGCGACACCACCGACGACGACCACGACGACCACGACTGGCGGCAAACCGGCCGAGGGCGAGGACCAAAAGCCCAAGAAGGACAAGTCTAAGGCGCGATTGGTGTATTCGGATAATGAGACCAGCCCGGAGGAGAAGATGGCTAGGTTGTCAAGGTACGCATATGTTCCTGACCAGCGAGGGGAGACGGTACTTGAAGAGCTTCCATCCGCCGTGGTGGTGGGGGCGATCCGGGAGTCGGACACGGTGGTGGATGCGACGGATTAGTGCGAGCACATTCGTACACGCAGACACAAACACATGCCGAAGAAGAAAACAAAGCAAAGAAGAAAAGTTCAAAAACAAAAAGAAGTTCAGTGCATACACATCAGCTAAGTTTCTGTTTACACACACACACACACACACGCACACCAAACTGGCAATGTCTTGTTGTTGCTACTACTTGACTCGGTGGCAGTGGTAGGCCGTGACCCTGACCTTTGGGCATGGCCTTCATTTTCTCCTTCGGAAAAGTGAGCACCGACTGTGCATGCAACAAGAAAAAAGAGTAGTTGGTGAGTGCAGAACCTTTTGCTTTGTTACTTTCTTCGATATCGAACGAATCGACGATTCCAGGGATTTTACTCGATTGATTGAGGGTTGGGGACAAGATTGGACGTTTAGTATGGAGGCCGAGGTGCTATATGACGATGTAAGTTGCGTCTAGAAGGTAGGCCACTTGAATATTGAATATCAGATATCTATCAGTAGTAGTCGGTAGATTTTGTTGTTGAAGTGTGCACCCCAAACTTATCATCATTGTTTTTGCTATACGCAACCGTATACCCTCGCCCCGCACAGTAAACAACCCATACCCCAGTACCAAACCCATAAGGTACCGTCAAGTCATAACCGGATCCGGTCGAATCCAAACCAAACCAATCCCTCCCCCCCATAATTCATTTCCGGTTCAAGACCAACCCCCCAAACACCCACACCCCATAGACCGCCACGAAGCTCAACACCGTGGGCACGGGCTTGCCGCCCGTCCGGATGGCGCGCGGGATCGAGCTGCCCGACAGGACCACCGAGGCCAGCAGCGCCAGCTCCGCGCCGTAGGGCTGCGCCGCGCGCAGCCGCAGCCCGCTCACCAGGTACAGCAGCCCGACGGTCAGGCCCGCCGCGATCGAGGGCACCGAGCCCGTGCGCAGGTAGCCGATTGTGCCGCCCAGGGAGGTCAGGAGGGCGAGGGTTAGGGCTGTTGTTGACTATTCTTTTGGTGTTAGTTTATCGATGGTTTGGGGGTGTTGGGGTGGAGGTGGATGTTGTGGTAGGGGGTAGGGTTGAGGGGGTGATGGTTTGCTTGCTTCCTAGCTGGGTGACTAGCTGGGTAGCTGGATAGCTGGGTGGTTGGGTTGGGTTGCATTGGATTGAAGTTGCAGGATTTGGGGGAATGGGAATTGCTGCAGTGGACGTACCATTGTGATGGGGTTGTGTTTTGAAGAGGTTCAGGTACAGTACAAGGGTGAGTTGTGGTGTTGGTGGTGGTGTGGTGTTCAGATATGTTACGGATCGGTGGTTATTGGCGCCGGCCACTTCCAGGCTTATATGCTCCTACTCACTCCCGGCGAAATGGTCTGATATCCGGGGTTGCTGGGGAATTAGTAATGCTTTCCCTTTCCTTCCTTCCCTTCCTTCCTCCTTCGTTCGGGCCTCCGGGCCCGGCGGGTCGGCGAGTCTGGATCCGCCTTTATGCATCATCTACTGTACTGTATACATCATCATCAATATAGCTAGTCTTCATCTACTTCTATCACACTCATATTTCATGTGTCACATAACACGTTTAGCAAGCATATACAGTATCATCGCATCATTTAAACTTTTCCCTTTTCTCTTTTCCCTTTCCCTTTTTTTATCCCACCAGCTCATTTCTACTCCCTTCATCCCCGCCTAGCCGTATTCTCAACAGCTCCATATCCACCAGTTTGGCTTTCCTCCGCACCCTCCACCTCTACCACCACATCCTCCTCCTTTCCATGAAACCCATCGGACTCCTCTGTCCAAAACACCGGAACGGCACTGACAGCTCCAAACACCGCCAGAAGCCACCACGGAATGATGATGAAGCCCCGCTTCACCCCAAAAGAAAACGCCGACCCTGTCAGCGCCGGGCCCACCGCGCGCCCAATGGCACTGACACTCGTGCCCACCCCGTTCAAAGTCCCCAGCACACTCAGGCTGGCCGCCGAGTTGGTGAGGAGGATCGTCGTGCAGGGGAACCCGAAGATCGAGGCGGAGAGCTTGCCCAGCATCAGCAGAAACACGACCACGTGGCGCAGAGACCCCGGCACGAGCGCCGTGAAGGGCGTCAACAGGTAAAGCACGGGGAAGACGATTGAGACCACCTTGAGGCAGTTGAGCACGCCGTACTGCTTGGCGGCCGCGGGGAAGATCAGGAACTGCACCATCATGCCGATGATGCCGATCAACGTGTAGTAAATTCCGATGGTTTGGGAGTCTGATGGCCAGTTAGCACGTACGTGACCGAAACAACACAGGATGAAGACACCCACCCACACCGAACCCTCCAATGAATTTGAACGGCAGACGCACGTCCGGGTTGCCTTCGAACTGCTGCGGCGGCGTGTGCAGGAAGACGGGAAATAACGAGTCAAACGCCATGGTATGCATCGACATGAGTGAGTACGCCAGCAGAATCAGGTTGGATTGCGGGGAGAACACCTCCGCCCAGCTGGGTTTTCGGGCTGACTTGGTGCGCGTGGTTGCGCGGCGCTGGCCCAGCAGCGCCGTTCGTTCCTCATCGGTTTCTGTGATGGTTGTTGTCGACAGTGACTTTTTGTCTGATCTGGCACTCCGACACGGCCGCGTCAAAGCCTGACCCAACACAAGCCCATAATCGCGTTGATGCTTCTTTGCAGCCAGCGTTTCCTAATCAGCAGCCCCACGAGAGCATCCGTCAGCACTTTCCCCCCTCCCCTCTCACAGTAGGTATACGAAGCATAACTCACCTCCAAAAACAAAAACCCCGTCCCAATCCCCACCACAAAGAACCCCGCCGCCGCCAGATTCGGCAACAAAAAGGGATACCGTCGCAAAAACTCCCAACGTCCAAACACCTCCGGGTGCTTCTCAACCGGACGGGCCAGCGCGCCCCCGAAGGCGGGCCCAAAGATACTCCCAATCGTCCAAACGAGCGGCATGATGCTGAAGGCACGCGGCTGCAGCTCCTTCTCGGGGACCATCTCGGCGACCATGGTGCGGATGATGCCGACGTTGCCGTTGAGGAGGCCCAGCAGGCCGCGCGCGATGACCAGTAACGTCAGACTGCGCGCGAACCCGAACACCAGCGACATGACCATCGTGCAGGTCAGCCCCGTCAGGATGACGGGCTTGCGGCCGACCGTGTCCGACAGCGTGCCCCAGGTGACGGCCATGGCGGCCTGGCTGAAGGAGGTCACGGCCGCGGTGATGCCAACCCATTTGGCGATCTCGGGCTTGGGGACGCCGACGGATTCGATCATTTCGGGCTTTTTGGGGGTTAGTTTAGTTGGATTGGGGTTTGGGGGTTTGCGGGGGTATGTATGCTACTCACTAGGTAGGGGAGGACGGAGGTGAGGACCACTATGGTAATGATGGGGGACATTGTTAGGATGGTGAATGCAATGTACGGACGAGCCGCGCGCAACCGGACTTTTAATGGAGAGGGCATAAGATATGCATACCTGGCTCTGCGAAGCGACATATTGCTGTGGTAAATAACCCGGTCAGTCGAGGAGAGTTCTTTCGATGTGAGATCTTGACTGGGTGGGTGTAACCTCAGCCGAAGCAGATTTCTGGACTTACAAAGAATGACCAGCTGCCGCACGGGCAGCTGGGGGGTTTTCTTCAACATGCTGACCTGGTGAGACCGGGTCAATAGCAAGAAGAAGAAAAAGGAAGAGGATAGAAAGTGGGTGAAGAGGTGAAGAGAAAAAGAGAAAAGAAATTGGGGAGGAGGAAAGAAGAGAAAGAAGAAGCCGAGAGAGAAGCCGGAAAGAAGACTAGCCAGTCGAGGCAGAGGCGGCGCGAGGGCGTGTGACCGGAAAGAAGATGATCAACATGCAAAAAAACCCACTTGCTCTCCGAATCATTGTTCGGGGTGTTTTGCAGCTTACTCGAACTAAACTGGCTGCTTATCTGCTCTAACTAAGGCGCATCGACACTATATTCCGATTCCCGGTCTGTGACATTTCAACTACATGTTGATGCTTATGGCTGCTACCTTAGAATGCTTCCCGCCCTTCTACATCAAACTATATCCGACTTGACCTTATGGTTGATTGCTCTTGCTTTCAACAACTGATGTCCCAACAGATTGTAAGTTACCAAAAATTGTCTACGATCAGACAGTCTCAATTTACAAGGTGAAACAATCTCCGATTCGCCAGCCCCTCTTGCTTGGTCCTTGCATGCATGCACTTCCCGGTCAGCTGGCATGCAATCCTGCTGGCCCCCTCATACACATACTCTACTGCAGCAGCCGAGTGGCCGCTTCGATGCGCTCCAGAATAATTGAGCGCCATTTCTGGAAACCAAAATTAGCAACATCCCTCACATTCTACCAATAGCAAGCGAGAACATACCTGAGAGTTGGTCAGATCGCCCGCCTCCAGACTCTCCACCAGGCCCGGGTAAGTTGCCCCGGAATAGCCGGTCCAGATGCCTGGGGCAAACACGACGTGCTTGTACCAGCTGCGGCCATCCAGCCCCGGCTGGTACAAGAACTGCTTCTCGATGCTCTTGTACTTATCGTTCACCACACGGATCTGGAAGAGCAGCCGGACCTTCTTCCACCAGTGGTACCACGGCACATCCTCGCCCAGCTGCGAGGCCAGGTCCGCCGCATGGGCCTCAAACCGCGCGGCCGCCGCTTGGAACTGCGCAATAGCCTGGTCCAGCGGCGCAAAGTCGAACGATGTGCCCTTGGGGAGCTGCTTCGCCACCGGCTTGATCTGGCTGAGGTACTGCTCCAGCCCCAGAGCGTAGTCAGTCGCATTGAAGGCAATGATCGGGGTCTCGATCAACTTGGCCGCGGCGAGCGCCCAGATCTTGGTGCATGCCTCGTGGTATTTCCAGCTTGGATCGCCGAACCGGTCCATCCAATCGAAGCTATCATAGTTCGAGTGGTAGTGGTACACGGCATCCGTGGGACCACGCCCGAAGCCAAGATCGTAGCTAGCCACGCCCGCAAAGTCCTGGAAGGCTGTGAAGTCGCTGCCGCTACCCATCGTAGCAATATGGCCATCCCAGACATCCCGCACGGTTTGACCCGGCACAGTCTGGTTGGGGGACTGCACCAAGCCGGTCACCTCGTAGATAAGCTGGTTCATCAGCGGGCTCGCCCGTGGCTCCAGCAGGGTACCGGCCGCAGCCACATCCACGTTCAAGTAGGCAATGTTGGCCTTGGAGAGCCACGGGAGCTGGTCTTCCACCCACTCCGTCGAGCCCAGTAGTCCGTACTCCTCACCATCCCAGCTGGCGAAGACAATGGTTCGAAGCGGCTTCCAGCCCGCCTTGAGGGCCTCTCCAAAGCTGCGGATGACCTCATTCAGCGCGGCCGATCCACTATTGGGGTCGCCAGAGCCGCCAGCGATCCACGCATCGCGGTGGTTGCCCAGAATCACCACCTCATCTTGGATGTGGCCTTTTACAACCCCAATAACATTCCAGAGGGGTGTCGTCACATACTCCTGCTCATTGTACAAGTTGATGACGACATCATCTGGCGTAGGACCGATATTATACTCTACACCCTTGGATCGCAGCTTACCGCCCTGCCACCACTTGTTGAAGTCCGAGGCTTTGGGACCATGACCATTCAGTGCCTTCAGAAGTGGGATCACCTCCTGGTACGAGATAGGCAGCGAGGGAATGGACGGGATCGAGTTGAACGGGTCCTGTCGCTCACAGCCGGGCTTGGAGGCATACCCGGGGGTAGTCGGGTCACCAGGCGCTATGCCTAGTTGTCATGATCAGTCACACCGGAGCCAGGATGCAGCTGAAAGTAGGAAAGGAGGAGTTTACGTACTTAGGAACTGCGTACTACCACGCTGCACGGCGCTTGGGTTCCGCGCGGGACCCTTGGGATACGCCTCGTAGCCGTTCTCCTCGGTGATCTCCCCGTCAGACTCCGGGTCATCATACAGGATGACGCCCACCATCCCGAGCTCCTGCGCCCGCTTGACCTTCAGCCCGCGGAAGATGCGGCCATACTTGCAGATGGCGATCTTACCGGCCAGGCTGACGTTCGCATCGATCAGGTCCTGGAAGTCGTACACGGTGCCGAAGTTGGCAAACACAAAGGGCGCCGTGACGTTCCCGCTCGCCGAGTATCCGTGGAAAGTCGGCACGCGATCCGTCAGGTTGGTCGTGTGGTCTTCCTCGAGGATGTCCTCTTCCAGGGTGGCCTCAAAGGTCACCTCGGTGGCATCGCCGTTCTTCTTCAACAGGGCCAAGCGATGATCTACGGGGTAATTGAGGAAGATGTCATAGGCGACAATACTAGTGTCGTCGATTCCGAACTCCTGCCAGCGTTCCTGAGTCCATACGGCCTGGCTCAGGTTCTTGCCAGCCAGATGGGGACCGGCGGTGTAGTAGCTACTCCATTCCCGAGCCTTCTCGGCGGATGGGGTCTCGTGGAGCAGAGCCTGCAGCTCTTCGAAGCCCAGACCATGGCCGTGAGGCCAGGAGGCATGAGGGAATGGATTCGCCCAGGGAAGGTAGGACCAGATGGACCCATGTTCACGAGGAAGAATGGCAGAGGGGACGAGAAAGAAAAGGACAGAGACAGCAAGGATAAAGCCCAGGACGAAGTTACAGGATCGTCGAAGGGCGTGGTGAGGGTATCGGTACTGCCGAGGCGCGATAGCGACACTCGTGAGCAACGGAGTGGATTCCGAGGGAGCCATGGCTTTCTCCCTCATCTCGGGTACCATAATGTGTTTCAAAATGGATCAATCTAGACCCAATGATGGAAGAGACAAAAGATAGAAGAACCAGCTAGCTAGCCAGCACCCATCGCAGGAAGAATGAGGAAGCGAGAGAGAGAGAGAGGGAGGGAGGGAGGGAGAGGAGGAAGAGGAGGAGAGGAAGGAAAAGCAAGTGGGCAGCTAACGTTCGTTAGGTGAGATGACGACGAGGTTATCAGCTCCAGTTGGATCTCCGCAGATGAATCAGCGTCTATCTTATCACTGCACTATCAGTCACCTGCTAAACCTGGTCTAGCGTCAGCTCCACACCGTGACAGTCTCGGCAGTGCGGCATCCTTCATTCCGTTCCATGGATCTTTTGGAGAGTTATTGTAGTTACTGTACGCTAATCTCCCAACTGATTTACTCACAATCACGGAATCGCACGCCATCATCAAGAATCCACTTCCTGCTTTTCACGTAACATTCCGCTGATGAGAGCCCCCCCCCCGGCTAGTTTCACTCAAACAGATAGGTATCAATCGTAGAACATAGAATGTACATACATACATACAGCGCACCGCCAACACGCCCCTACCGATGCACAAAAAGGACCATGCAAGGAGTAACAGATAGGCTGAGACAAAAAAAGAGAGATTTTCCCGCCCAATCATCAAGCCGCCAATTACAATCAAACAGACGCTGTCTCTTCCACGTTCGATCCATCTGGCTCCTCAACCGTGATCTTGTCATTCAATGCAGGATTCACAGTTTCGCCGAGCTCCATACTGTCGCGTAGAATCTGTCTCGCCCGCTCGTCGCCCACCTTCATGTCCTCCTTGACAAGCCTCATCGCTAATTCGGGGACTAGTACGGCCTGTGCATACCCGGCGACGCCTGCCGTGTTGATAATATGGTCCTGAGGGCCGAGGCGACGCAGTTTGCGAGCATACCGTGCCATAATACATTCGAGCCTAAAGTAGTGATGCATTAGTCGCGCAACCGAGCAACAAGAGGAAGGGGGTCACTCACATCAGGGAAGAACCGCGCGTTCCGTAATAGCCGCATGAAATATCCTCCAGTCCATCACTGAGCAAATCAAGCTTGAAGTTCTTTGCTTCACCAGCCTTCAACTTGGTGTCCAAGATGTTTCTATAAAATGACGAGCTTCCCGGCTCCAAGACCCGGTCGAGTCCCTCCAAATGCGGCTTGATCCGGTCCTCAAATAATTCCCAGTCGATGGTCGGATAGCCTTTCTCTTGCCACTCTCTCTCGCCGGCTGTACTCTTGTGGGATTCACAAAATCGTCGTTGTTCGCGCATCCGTTGCTGCGGCTGTGCTTGAAAGCGTTCGAGGAGCTCGCGGGGCACCGGCTCTTTGCACCACGGACACAGAGAAGGCTCCGAGGTGTACATCTCGTCGTCGGAGTCGAGGGAGGGATCGTCAAACCGAGACAGCTCCTGCAGCAAGGTTGACGATGCGGAGCTCAGCGCCCCGTCGGACAACGAGTCACTATCATCGAGGACTAACGAGACAAGGTCACGAGCGGAGGGAGTAGCGAACGAGGAGCCGGAAGTGGCAGTCGGAGGAAGGGGAGGAGGCGCTTTGAATTCGGGTTTCGGGCTAGAGTCCAGGGCACGCGGCATCTTAAACCCCTCCTTTGAACTGCGCGATTCACTTGCGCCAGTCGAGTTCTTTCTCAGCTTTCCGTTCCGCGCACCAGCCGAGGGGGACTGCGAGGCCGCGGGAGACGTCCAGCTCGGTGTAGAGCCCGTCCCGAACGATTTCCTCGAGCCATAGCTGACCGCGGGCTTCCGTCGTTTGGAGCTCTGCGATGACCGGAATTGCGACGAAAAGAGGACATCCTCCCCGTCGCTTGTCAGATCTGCGCCATTGAATGTGTCCACGAATGTCCTCTTGCGGTCCGAGGTGGCGGACTTCGCCTTCTTTGTCGCGGGTCTTTGCCGGGAAGCCCGCGGCGTCTCCTCGCCTTCAGGTGAGCGTCTGGCAAGTTTCTCCTTCAATGTAGGCCC